CCAGTTAATTAATCCAGTTTAAATAGAAAATACAATATTTGAGATATCTGGGATAGTTTGAAGTATTCTTTTTTTTTTGCCTTGTATGATTTGTGCTTTCATTGTTCAAATTTAAAAAATAATGAATTTTAGATGGTTAAGATTAATTTTTCAGCAAATAAGTTGTACAAAGAAAATTTATGAAAGGCAAAACTTGAGAGATTAATGAGTCTTACTCTTATCTACCAGTCACTGGCTATTGACTTGAATAGTTTGTCATTTATTATCCACAAGTTTATGTCCTGTTCAGAGAGTGTCAGGGTTTAGTTATGCACATTTTTCCTTTGACTTTATTTTAACCTCTTGGCTTAAATAGAAAAAAAATTACTTAATAAGTTTGCAAGAATCTTGTAGTAGATTATTTTATTGCATCATTTAATTAAATTAATTTAATTAATTAATTCTTAGAATGCAGACTTTTTTTTTGTCAAGTTATATAACACTCTTTAATTTTATTTTGATGAGAAGTTAACTATAATATCCTACTACTAACCTATCTTAGTGTATTTTAATTCAAGGGCTTAACACTGTATTTGTCACATTAGTCACTCTATCTCTTGTTGAGTTAAGTGATTTTGTAATTAAATCCTTATGTAAGTTCATGAAGTAGCTGAAATATTCTTATTTTTATTAGTGTGAACACAAATAGCAAATTTTACAGCACTTTTATCATTAATTTTAGAGATAGGTTTGTCAAACCCAGGTAAACCATCAAATAGCAGCAAATATTTTTTAGCAGTATGAATAAAAATTTTCATTATACAGGGGATAGGATTTAAGCATGTTTATAGTAAATCTAGTTGTATATTGATTGACTCTTCTATTGTCTCCAGTCTATGAAGGCCTATCAATTCAGCTCCTAGAACTGAATTGTTAGTTTACTTGTACATATAGTTTAATTATTGTGGTGAAGACTTGTGCAGAACCAGCCACACTTTTTTTGGAAGAGTTTATAACAGAAAACTGGTGCATAGTGTGCCATACACAAAGTTTCCAAACAGTCATCCTTAGGCTTTGAATTCAAGGTTATCTTTTTCCTAGACTGGTTACCAACCAATGTTAAAGAACTCTGTTTGTCTTACTATTTAACCCATAACTGTGTGGAGAAGTGATGAATTCATACCTTTACTCCAGGGTATTTGTGTGTGTGTGTGTGTGTGTGTATATAAGTGAATGTAATTAGCTTGACTAGAATTTAAGCTCAGCTCTCCAATTTCTCATTCTGAGCTGCTATCCATTATGCCACCCACACGTGTGTGTGTGTGTGTGTGTGTGTGTGTGTGTGTGTGTGCCTGCCTGTGTTGTTTAAAGAAGATAGGACAGCTAAAAGATAAAAGGTAATTCATCAGGAGCTTAGCTACTTCCTAATTTAGCCTATTAGTTAATGGCTGAGTTATCTTTTATTTAAAAAGAGCAAAGACATAACTGACATATCTTGTGTTTTCCTTTTGTTAGATCTTTATAAGAAGCCATGATTGTGCTTTATTCTTTTGACCTATTTTTACAAGATTGATATTTGATAATTATTAATGTTTTCTAGAGATTGTAGTTTACAGTAATGATTTTTTGTGTGGGGCTTGTTAACCATGATTATGATCATATGTCCAATAAATAGATCATTTTAACTGAGATGGTTTTTATTTATAGCACTGTTGTTCTTTAATCCAAACATTTGAGGTTTTTCTCAAGTTAAAAAAAGTAAGAAATTCTATTTCCATTATGTGACTTTGATTTGATTTTACTTTTTTAAAAATAACGAACCAGGTTAGTGTCTTTCTACAAGGAGATTGTTTGAAAAACAGCAATGTTATTTGGTACGCCTCTTAAAATGTAAATGTTTAGTATTAAGACACTTCTTTGTTTTGAAATGAACACTGCATTTCTCTTTTACATTACTCAAATAAAAACTAACAAAAAACACACTGAGAAATAAAAATAAAATAATTCTTTTCATAGTATTGTGTTAATAATGAGATGAATATATTAAATTTGATCTTTATTAGAAGCCAACTTTATTCAAACACAATTCAGAACTGTTAGATCATTTCTATAATTATTAATATTTCAATCAGTGCTTTTTTTTTTAATTGTTATCTATTTATCTGGACAAACTTGCTTAAATTAGTATTCATTAAAGCCTCTGGTTCTCGTGCATTTTTTGTAATCATATCCTGCACATAAAGTATTTTTTCTTTTTGGTTGTGAGGCCAAGTGGTGAGTAAAACTGAAGACTGATTTGATTCTGTTGTTGGGTATTGTTATTTTGTACAAATGCTGCTGACAAAGGTCATCTTGATATGATCTTGTTCAGGCATGCTATGTGGGATGAAAGGAAAAGACAGTGATGCAACTCTCAACTCTCCTTAATTATAATCTGATATAAGTGAAAATTTTAATCTCCAGGGAGAAGAATTGATACATTAAGCAGAAGCTACCAATGTAGCTAATGACACCAATAACTTTGCTACTTCTATTATAAATGCTATGACTATTAGCAAAAATGTGGTGACTGTTACTAATTCCACTAATATCTATGTTACTTCTAAGCCATACTAATGCAACAGATATTCATGCATTTAGTAGTACTAACATAGTTGTCATTAATAATCTTTTTATTTTCTTTTTACTGATGATTTGTATAGTTGATTATGGAACTTGTTGCTTTGCACTTGTATCATGTTACCCCAGTTACTTTCTACTCTGCAGTCTCTCTTGTGTTCTCCACCCTTCTCAACCCACTTGATTTCTGATACCTGAACCTCAGACCAAGTAGAAAACAACATGCCAACACTTTGATGCATGTTTCTTCTTAAACTGAGCCATTTTCATGTTTTCTACTTGTATGGTATAATTTGTTTGTATTCCTTAGCAACCAAAATGGTTTAACTTGGCCTTATGTATGAGAAAATTCTGAAAAGATTTTGGTTTGACTCATTTCTCAAAATCTAATGAAATAAATTTTATTTATTTTTTGAAGAGTTTTTTTGGTTGGGTTGAGAACTTTTCAGCACCCTCTATGTAGTTTTTAAAATCTTTTGCCCCTGTATTTACATTAATGCTGTGATTTTAAAGAGTTGTTACACTAAGAGAGTAGAAAAAGACACAAATTGGCATTGTATTTTAGCAATTAAGGAATATTGTAAATTAAAAATTGTTTTTTTTTTTTCTTTTTTTTTTCTTCTTTCATAAAAAAAATCATAACAGATAACAAGCATGAATACTTGGAGACCTATCACCATGCTCAGTTACGCAGGGATATACAGAACAAAAGTGATATGATTTAAATGCTTATTCTTCATATGTGATAAATTTTAGAGTAGCAAGGGAAATAAGTAAACAATATTTACTTTCTGAGCCACACATGCACTTATATACATAATCTGAGAAATAGTCTTCTTCAGGTTACTTATTTGAAGAGGTCATTTCTCACCTCAGAGTGAAAAATGGATTTTAAGTAGTCTTTTATAACTTCAGAAGATCTTGTTCACTTTGTTACAGTAAAGTTAATTAATGTATAACTTATTTAGAACCATGTTTTGTCAATAGTGTCTGAGACATGTATATGATTAATGTAGAATCAGATTAAACTCTTCACTCTTTATCTCCAGAAATTGTAATATTTCATTAGAATCAACTTTTGTTTTTTTTTTCCTGGAAGGACACATAGCCTTATCTTATTGCAGTCATCCCTCTTGGCTTTTCATCTACATTCCTGATCATTCTGTTAAGCTATTTTGTCATTTCAGCCAATCTCATGCCTTTAAGCCTCAGATGATTTCTGCGTTATTACTCAGACTTTTTTTTTTTTTTTTTGCTCAATGATATATTGATCTTCATATATGCAGTGTGTATTTAGTATTATTATTAACTTTGGTTAATTTTTCTTTCATTTTAATTTCAGTTGTATTTTTATTATAACTCACAGTTTATTCTATCAGTGTAGATCAGAAATAAAAATAAAAACTTATTTCCTTCAGACCAATGAAAACATGACTGAAACTCTTATATGTAACATGACATTTTATTCAACTTTGGTCTTTGTCAATTACTGTCAGCCAGTGGATGTGTATGGCATTGAAGTCTTCTGCAAACATGGAACCTACATTCTCTACATAATCTGTTATGATTTTTTTTTCTCATTCATGCACATTCTAGGCATAGCTAGGTCAATCACATTTACATGTTGGGGCAGCCACTGACATTGGATGAAGCGTGGATCTCCGCCCTTGTCTAGGTGGTCATCTCTCAGGCCAACCCACTGATACACCTAGCTTCTTTGATGGTCTAGTGTGACATTGAGTGCAAATCCTATTCTGGCATCATCATGTGAGCCAAATACTACAATGTAAGTCTACAGTCAGACAATAATCCTGAATAATATTATTTTTAATCTACACTGCTTAATAACAATTGTAAAATGATCTGGAAGATGTTAAAAGACCAGTGGAAATTAAGATGAAAGAAATAATAGTAAAATGGTTTTATATCTTTGCAGTCTGTAGTTGTTCATATAATTTTACATAGTTCTGTTAATGACTAATGGGAAACATGTTGGTAAATTACTATTCAGTGTGGACCTGATTAGTATAATTCTATTTGTTGGCCATTGCTTGATCAATTACCTAATAAATGGTGAGAGGTTGGTTTCCCTCAAGTTTTGGTACTTGTTTATTTGTGTGTTTGTTAATTTGCTGTATTAATGTCTGGAGGAGCAATCCATATTCAGGATTAAAAGGTTTAACATTCTTTGCTCTCATTTGTTACCAAGCACAAGACCATTTTCTCTTCGTACAAGTCTATTCCATTATAAAACTAGCATTTTTGTCAACCCACTAACTTGGGACATTGCTGCAATCATGTTTTTTGATGATCTTTATGTTGATGAGTTTGCCAATTTTGAAATGTTTGATTTCCAAGGTAGGTACACTTAGTAGATTTTATGTATCTTTGTTTTTTTAGGGATGTGGTACCATACAGGGCATTACAAAAAATACATATGGTGTGGTTGGTTTTCATGGTATACTGTATTGTACAAATATGGTATGTTTTTAATTTTTTTTTTTTTTTTAGATAATGAAACTAAGATATCATACTCTCTTTTCTCATATAGGTTCTTTTCTATTCTTTACAATACTATTTACAATACTAGTCATATTTTATGTTCATCTGATTTTTTTCTTTTGATACTTTTTATCCCTTATTTTTATTCTTTTCTACATTGCTTGAAATATCAAAAATTGTAAAATATTGCTTTTCATGGTATGCTCCCCTCCCATTTTAAATATGGTATAGAAAAGTCTTTTTTTGTAAAATTTTATTTGTAGGTTCTCTTTGTCAATGTTGTATTCATATAATTATTATACAGGAAAATTATACTTATGATTTTATAATGCAAAATTATACAGATAAATGATATTATATAGTGGGCAATATTTGAACAGTATATTTATTATAATAACAAAGATTGGAAAGTAACATACTACCAAAATTGTTCAATTTTCATTGTTTAATTGTTCTTTAACACATTAGCATACATTAATAAAAAATTCTTTATAGTTTGTTTTTTCTCTTTTACCCCATGACATTATTCTTCATTTTTCTGTTTCATTCTTGATAATTTTCTAACCATTAAAATTTGTATTGAAAACTTTAGATTTATTGATTATTTCCTCATTTAAGGATTTAAAATCTTTTCTTCCAGAATATACAACCTTAACTTATCTTGATATTCATTTTTTAAGTTTGTTTTTTTTTTGTAAGTTTTTACACTTGTACTTTTAAAAAAATCTTGGGTAATTTTTTTTGAATTTTTAAAATGAAATTTTGATTTCCTATCAATACTATTTTGCTTTTTTCGTTTTTGTTTATTTTTTATATTAAAAGAAGAAAACTTCATGTTGGAACTACAGCAAGCAGATGTTTAAAAAGTTTATCTTGAGTTATTCAAATGAAAGAATATGTTTTTCTATGCATCTGAAGTGATAAGAATTTTTGCTATATTGTTTTTTAATCAAAGTGTGTGGGTTAAGAAAATTACTTTGAATTGCCTTTGCTGGTACTTGATTATTGTCTATGCCACTCCTGTCACATTCTTTAGGTATGTTTTTATGGTATGTTGTTAATACAACTTTGCATTAATACAATACATACATGTTCTCTAAATAGTGAAATGTTGAAGCAATTATGGAAAATGCAGATTTATTTGTTTTATAGATCAAAAAGTACTTACAATTTGTAGTGGAATTATTTTAATATGAAGCAATAGGCAATAAAATTGCTCATTAGGAACAAGTATTAAAAATACAAAATACTGTTGGTGTCTACAAGTTAATAAGAGAAATGCTTATCATTTATGATTTTTGAAATGATGGAACCTAATGAAAAAAGTCTTAATGCTTTCCAAGAAAATAAAAATCATGACTAAAAAAATCTTAAGTTATTTTAAATCTTTTGAAGCAAAATTAAAACATTAGTGATGTTTCAGTTATGATCCAAATCTCATAGAGTATGTACTCTTGAGATAGGTGATAAAATGTAGCAAAAATTGATAAGACAACTTGTCAAAATATTGGAAGTGTTCATTGGCAAAGATATGTATCTATTAGTGAATGTCAAGAACTAAGTAAACTCTTTCTTCAAAGTGATTAAGATTATATCTATTGCTTTGTTAGGTATGTAGCAAGTTACAACCTCTTATTGCATGAACACACTAATCATAACAAAGTAACTTTTAGCTTTGACACATTCAGCAAATTCTAGTTTATTTGGATTAAAATTGATATTTCATCATCTTGACTATTGTTTTGTATTTATCCATTATATTCTTAAAAATATACATTTATTCAGAGGGGAAATACTACTTCATTAGATAATGGAATATGGGGTGGTGCTTCAACCAGTCAATCATAAATCAACCTGTGACGATTTTTCTTTTCTTTCTTTTTCTCTTTTTACATTTGCTTTTCAATGTCATATCTAGTCCCACTTTAGTCATTTTATTTAGTATTCTGACTGATCACAATAGCACATGCACAAAGTGACCTTTTTTCCATTCAAAATTAATGTAACCCTTTGTTTGCTTCTTGAGGTTTGAAAAATGTTTTAAGGAACAAAAACATACATTTGGTCAGGGGTTGAATTTATTTTGAAACTCATCTTTTTTTTAAGTGCACACTGTTAATTTTTAATAGTAAAATATAAAATATGGGAATAATAGTCTTTGACTGGTTTCACCTTGTGATGAACCACTTTTCCTGCAGAGAAAGATTTTTACATTTTATATCATAAACTTCATGGAAAATAAACATATTTTACTGAATTATTTTAACTTCTATATTTTTTATATTTATTTGAAAAATACTTAACAATTTATTGGATAATATTTATCCAAGATTGTTTTAGGCAACTCAAAAACAAAAGATGCAATTATATAATGTATGTGTCTCTGTAAAACAATATACAATAGCAAATATAAAAAAGTATAAACAACCAACAAATGTGAGGGAAAGAGTAAGGATAATAATTTTTAATAAGCAAAAAAAAAAAAAAGAAAATGTACTAAAAAAGGACTAATGGGTAATTCTTGCTCTTCAGTACAAGTGTGTATAAATGTGCAATGTTTAAACAACAATAGCAAAAAATTGTTGTGCATATATATATATATATATATATATATATATATATATATATATAAATAAAAACTAAGAACAACCAAAGTATTGGCAGGGAAAAACATTGTCAAATTCTTATTATATTAAGGCCACAAACATTCTTTCTGCTTTTGTTTTTTTATTATATATATATATATATATATATATATATATATATAAAATATCTCGCTGTATGGTACTTTTTTGTCTGATTGTTTTCTTCTTTTTATTTAAAGATTATAATAATATATCCATTTATTATTAATTTAAATTGATATGAATACTTAAAAGCTGAGATTTTGTAAAATTAATTGATTTGTTTTAGATTTTATGGATGTATTGAAACTTGAAAATTTACATTGTTTTATTTTTGTAAACTTTAATTTTTATTTGCTGAAAAATTATCAAAGATTAATTGCAGTTTAAGATGTTGTTTATTGTTTGTAATAAATAAATAAGTTAGTACCAAAAATCAAACCATGTAAATTTGCATGTTTTTTAGATTGAAATGAATTAGGCTATCATGACAACTCTCCATAAAAAGAAAGTTCTTTTACAGTTTATGGATAAAAGGATTAAAGAACATCTATTCCTTATGTGCTGAAAGAATGTTTTTAAAGTTTTTTGTAATGGTAGCTACTTAAATTATTTATTATTGATAAGTTTGATTTCATTGTGAATATATTTCTTTATTCAATAGTGTGTGCTATAAAAAACCTACTTATTGTTAAAGGCAATGTTTTTAAATAGTTTGCATAAAAGCAACATTTGTTTGAAGTGATCAATTGGATAATTATAATTACACTTTTGGTTTAACTACTTATATAAACCATTATAAAAATGTATATTTTGACACTTGTCACATTTTTAATTTCATTTTATTGTGTACATTTTAACAGTTTTTCAATTTTCTCTAACAATAGCAGAATTGTTATCTTTTTACAGCAATATTCATGATGGAAGAATTTATGATTTCATATGCATTATTCAACTGTGTAACTGTTACATTCACAAACTTAAAAGTTTTTGCAAAGAGTTTACCAGAGATATTTGATTTAAAAGGAATTGAGTGAAAAATTTTCACTTTATAGGCTAAATTTTATTTTTCACAAGTTTTCATGTCTTAATGTGCATTGTTTCTCTCTATTTACATTCATAAGACTAGCTTCTTCAAAAGTTTTTTGTTGGCCAATACACCTCCCTTGCTTATTACCCTTTTAATTTCTTTCTCAAATATTTTTAATGTTATGACAGAAAAGGACTCCTATTTCTAGACACAGAGGACTCATAGATGCAAGTGTGTTGATGCTATATGGTACCCTGATGGCTGGCCTAGTCAAGTTTTAAGCTAGTTTTTTTTTACCAATATTGTTTCTATCTAATTTAACAATGTGATGTTTCTCTTTTTCTTATGGCCTATGGTAATATTTATATATCTGAAATTAAAAAAATAAATATTAGTAACTCTACTATTAAATATTCATTTCCAGTATAATGAGTAACCATTTGAGTTATGTAAGAAAATCTTATACCACCAGATAAGTGATTATAAATATTTGTAATAAAAGCAGATATAAACTGGAATTTGCAATGGTATATTTATCATATAAATATACCCTGGATATTTTACCAACATTGTTGGATGTGAAAACATTGACTTATATACAACATTGGATTTTATTATCTAAGTTCAGTTGTGAGATCATTGAACTGGTGATGATTATTTACTTCCAATCTTGATATAAAATGAAGTTTATTAACTTTAATACACTCTCTGAAGGAATTCATAAAACCGGAAATCTCAGCAGATGGAATTATTTGCTCAAAAGATTTCTGATAGAAACAGCAAACTGTTGATGTAATGTACTAGAGATTTGTAAACATTTCTTAAATCCTTTCATGAAGAGATAAGTGCTGCTTGTTTGTAAAATGTTCAAGATATATGCCCAAAAGATAAGTTAACAGTTCTAGCTTAGCATTACCTAAATTAGATATATCAGGTCATAAAGGTTTCAGAAAGCTTACAAGTTAAAACAGTGCCACACAAATAACACTCATAGGAATTTTAGTTTAAATAACTGGTAATAGTGGTTCTTCATTTCAAATTTTCCTTTTGTCTATTTTTTCTTTGTTAGTCCTTTCAGTACCTGTTCAAAATGTCTGAATTGTCTGGGTAAATATAATGAGATGACTTGTTTTTGACTCCTTGGATATAAATAATTTTTAGTGTTTTGTTACCAAAGCAATTTTCATGCTTATTTATTTATTTTTGCTTATTGGTTACCTGTCAGTTTATGGGCAAAAATAAATGTTTTCTGTAGAAATAGATTGGACATGCTCTTGAGACATATGTCTGTTCAAATCTTAGTTGTTCACATGGTATAGTCTCTT